TTTTTAGTTAATATGACTTGTATATATCATGTTTATTTGATATTATTACAAGGTTACATGTGTTTAAAGATATTTAGAACGTGCTGTTTTCTGTAAAGAAATACATATGAGAGATACTAACCATAAGTGATGATAGACTACTAGAAAGAAGTTTTTTTCTTCGATATTGCTATCATTTTTCATAAGTCTGATCGAAAAATTTTGGTAGAATCGTACTTGTAAACATACTGCATATATGTATGAAATGAGAAACTTGTCATAGAACTCATAATAACATCATTTTTCTTTTTTTTTAATGTAGAAACAATTGTGTTTATGTAACAATAAATGTAGATAGAAATGATTATGAGTTATCTTAGTTCTGGTGAATATTATGTTGACATAGTCCTCTTGTAAATGTCACAATCAATGGTTTCGTACATAATGATTAAAACATTTGCCTTTTTTTATCCACTTCAAGCTTTTTCAATGAATGAATACCATACTCACTCTTCGAACTATCGAAGTAGAATAAACACTTGAATAATTCACATTTTCAAGTAAAAAAAATTAACATGTAGAACCAAAAATTCAAACGAACCATATTTGTTCGATTTTACTGAACATAATAATTAAAATAAAAAATCTAAAAAAACACATATCTATTTCTAGGTATGTATGTAACAATTCCAATCATGCAATTTGCTTTATTCTTTCTCTCGCTCGAACGTTTATCAAAACATTTTAATCTTCCTATGACATGGGCAAGAATATTTACGAAACCTTATCTAATACAAGTTATTCTATGGGTTATATGGATTGTTCTTATTGCATTACTTGTTACATTTATGTTTATAAGAAAACAATTTAGTTTTAATTTAATAAAAGATAAAGCATATAGTCTTGCTCCACCTATTCTTGGTGATGTTGTTAGTAGACTTGCATCACGTCGTTATCATTGTTCAATTGATGGTCGTTTATCATCTGTATTTAAAACATTAATTATTATTTTATTTGTTATATTAATTGTTAAACCAATCATATTTTCAATTGGTTTTAATTTATGTACACCATATTGTTGTAAAAAAACAACGTCGTGATCTTGAAAGTCATGGTGATCGTCGTACAACAACATTAGTTACAATATTTCTTTTATTAAATTTATTTTTTTCATTTCCATTTTATTTTGTATCAATGTTTAATAGTATATTAACACGTATTGATTCAACAAAAGATGTATTTACAATAATATTAAAAATATGTTTTATATTACGTATAACAAATATTATATTTGAATGTTTAGCATTTTATATTTTTGAAAGAAATTCATGGGATTTATTAAGCAAATTATTTTATTATGGAACATGTAAAAAATTTCCAATATTTAAAGTATCAGAAGATAATGATGATGTTATGTATACAAAAGATCCAGAAGTTCAAAAATTTATTGATCGTGCACGTGCAAATAAAGCTGTTGATGACGATGATGATGGTGAAACAACGACAAAAAAGAAAAGAATTACTAAGAAGAAACGTGAACAAGTAATTGAAGTTGAACCCGATGATGATGATGATGATGATGACGATGGAGGATTTAGAAAAGCAAAGAAGAAGCCATCAATAACAAGAGAAAATGAAATACAAGCTGAAAGTGATGATGATGATGATGATGATGCAAAGCCTGTTATTAAACGAACCAAACAATCAAGTAAAAAGGTTGTTCAAAGTGATGGTGAAGAAAATGAAACCAAAAAAGTTTATACTAAAAAACGAACATCAAAAACGAAAGTAGTCGATAGTGACGAAGATGAAGATGAACCAGTACAAGCTCATACTACAAAACGAAAATCTCAAATAATACGAAAAGAAACTGTTACTGATGATGAAGAGGAGGAGGAGGAGGAGGAGGAGGAAAATGATACAAAACGAAAACCTCGAAAAACAAAAAATATTAGTGATGAAGAAGAAGAAGAGCAAGAAATTAAGACAACTACTAGACGAAAATCTCGAACAAAACAACCAGAGAGTGACAATGAAGAAGAAGAAGAACAAAAACCTATTAAACGAAAATCACGTCCAAAAATTGATAAAGAAGAGGAAACTACGAGAAAACCAAAATCAAAACCACGTCAAAAAGTTGAAGTTGAAGAAGAGGAAGAACAAGAAGAAATGATTAAAATTCCAAAGAAAAAATCTCATCATACTAACGTAGAAATTCAAATACCAAATGGGAAATCCACTTCTCATCGATCAGTACCTCCTACAACTACATCTAAACCAACAAAATCAGCTCAAAAGCATTCATCTTCATCTCATCGTAAAACTGAACGTCGTGCAACCCAACCTTCTCAAGATGAACTTTCAGATGCCAGTCATTCATCAGCTAAAATGATTGAATCTTCGGCTAAACCTGTAAAAAAACGACCAACTAAAGTTCATACAACATCTACCGAACAAAAACAATCTCGAACAAAATCACCAAATGAGAAACATTCTCATCATCGAACAGAACCTTCAACAACATCTCGATCTAAACCCAAAACTACAACAGCAAATCATTCTCAGCATCCAACAAAAAAATCACATAATGAAACAACAAAAACTAAAAAAGCGCATACACATACAAAACAACCGAAAAAAGATCATCATACTAGAATTCTTGAAATGTCCGATGAAGTTTAATATGAGAATGTTTGTGAAATATTAAATCGTTATTCACTGTTTGCACATCTGTGATGAGAATCAGTTATATTGAAATCTCGCAATTGTTTTACAGTGAGTTTTGTCTCTTTCTTCTTTTTACATTTTTTTTTGTACAGCATTTTTTTTGCTTGTCTTTTATTGTTTAATAATATATACAATTATAGTGATGTTTATTAATTAATCTTCTTTTCAATTAATAAGCTATTGAATATCCTGTATAAATACTTGAATGTAAAAGAAGGAAACAAATGAATTAATCAAGAAAACCTATCGGCAATTTGATTAATATGTAGATTTTTTTTCTTTTTGAAAAGAAAAGGATCATTGTCGATTGAAAAGTACTCAATGTATCTTCAAGGATATTTTCATTGTAAAGAAATAAAGTCTATAGATTTAACAAGAAGAGAATAGTTTCTTAAGTCATTCTAGTGTAGTTTAATCTATAGATATCGTTATAAAAATTGAATTATACTATGAAGGTTATTTTATAAGTGTTCTTTTCGATTCGATATACAAAGAGAACAAATATATATCTTTCTTTTTTCGAGCTATTTTTCAATAGTAGACCTTGTTTTAAGTACATTCGACAGAAAAAGTTCAACATTTCAGACGAGTATCAAATATATGTTATGAGAAACATTCTATAATTACCGATGAGACAACTTACAAATGAAAGTGATTATGACATTATATGTCTTTTTGATGATTAATAAAACTATAGAAGAACAGATGTTTTATTCAAATCTTCTATTTAATGAACAGTTCATATTCTTTTGAAATGTTTCGTAATCAATCGAATTGAATCATTATTGAAAAAGAAATGGATTCCTATATTCATGCTCTGATAAAATAAACCATTGTTCATAAGATTCATTAATATTTAGTTATTATTCTTGTCGTAAGGATGTTACTAAACAACTACCAAGCTATTGATTTACATAATTAAACAAAACAAAAGTTAGATTTGAATTCTTCGATCTCGATTATCCTTCGGTCAACCCTTATAAAAAACAATTCCTTCTATATCTTTACCTCGTTTTTGGATGAATCAGTGTAGTGCGGTCACACAAGCAAGCAATCACAGCAATTCCAGTGGCAGATTTAACGGGAAGGTGGGAGACAATGAGGGTGGTCACTCCTCTTCAAAAATTGTTTTTGATTTTTTACAGCAAAAATGAACGAAACAATAGATTCGAACTACTTCGATAGAACTCAAAACTAGTTTTTAGCTGGAATCGCCCTAGTAGCGTAAATCAGGATTTCGTGGGTGGCCTGGCGGTGCCTTACATTATGAACAAGAGAATAAAATATACGAAAGAACCATATAATAAAGAGATGAAATACATAATAAAAATTTTTTTCGGTGGACTGGCATAGAAGAGCGGTGGCTGGGCGAGACCAGGCCTTGGTTACGCCACTAAATCGCCCCCCCCCCCCCCCCATACTCATGTATCGCCCCTATCTACTCAGAAACCGCCCCTCCCTTCCAAAATTCCAGATCCACCACTGAGTAATTCATACAACCTTAGCACTATCTATATATCCACCGGTAAAGTTCATACATACGAAATCAACAACATTCCATATATTCATAAATCTCTTCTTTTTTTTCAAATAAATAAAAGTTATGAATTCAAAGAATGAACATCAATTGAATTTTTTGTTATCACACAAACTCTTGGTTTTATTATTGTTCCTATTCGCGCACACAAAACACGAAGAACAAAAAAAGGAAAAAAGAGAAAAACGAAATGAAATAAAGAAAGCACACAAGACGTTTTTGCGCATAAGCACAAAACAACTGAAACAAAAAAAAAATGTTAAATTTATTTTTTTTTCATGATGAAATAAATTAACATAGCAAGAAGAAAAACAAAAGACAAGTATCAGTTGAAAAGTTTTTTTTTTCTGGAATGTAGTCAATTTCTTTTCTTGATATTTTTTTTTTCTGAAAGCGCTGTACGACAAATGGACGGAAAATCCGGCCTACTACATTACTGTTCTATACACACATGTTGTCGTTGTAAAACAAATAACACGAAAGAAGAAGAAGAAGAAGAAAACAAAAGTCTAACAGTAACATAAGCTTAAGTAAGTAAGTATATATTTATCTTTGTTGAAGATAGATTTTACGAAACATGAATGTTTGATTATTAAGTTCAGTAACAGCTCGTAATGCATCATTTTTTGTTTCACAAGCAACAACACCAAAACCAGTTGGTTTACCATTAATATCACAACGTATTTTAAGTGTATCCGGTATTGGAGAATATGGACGAAGAAAATCAAGTATTTCTTCACGTGTTGCACGATAAGTAACATTCGATAAAACTAATATACGGCCAATATATTCATTTAATTCACTTGGTAATGGTGGTAAATTTGTTGGAGATGAAATAGGTGGTGTTGAAGAACGTCGATCATTAAGTGGTTGTTTATCATCATTTGATTTCATATCCTGTCCTTGTTCATCTTTAAGTACTCGTGGAGAATTACGTGTAATTCCATATCCATCTATGAAAAGTTAATGAAAATAATTGTACATATTTTTCTAATAAAATGATTATACAAATATAAATTTTTTATGAGGAAACATACTTACGTGTTGAAGCTGTTTAGACTCGATCGTTTGGCAATAGGTAGACCTCAATGAAACTTGAAAAGAATTCGTATCCTCGCACCTTTGATTGGAAGTTACGAAATTTTTCACTTGCATCAAGTAAGATTAGCGGTCTGTTCACGTAAAACGTGATTCCGTCACGCTTTATTTGTCTCATAACGCATAAACGACTTAGTATCAAGAATTATGCTTTTTAAAATGGAGCACTCCAAAGTTGTCTACAACAGTGACGGAATCACCTGCTTCCGTGGACAGAGCCGTTAGGCAAATTCAAATGACACCTCTTTGACCTGAAGTTTTATTTATAGGTATGTCGTGTCGTTACTAGAATGTCCTACAAATCTCATCCTCAGTTGATATTTCCTAACACATACATATGTTCTCTCGTAAGAATTTCTCGGAATAAAATCAGAGTTGATATTTCTAAATTATAGATATAAATACCTTTGTTATTATTATTATTATGAGTTCCATCCCATCGTGGTCTTTTATCATTTCGTCTATCATCATCTCTTTCATAGAAAGGTGGATATCGTTTAACATTTGGTTGTTGTTGAAAATGTTGATTTATTGCTGCTGGTGATTGTAAATCATTTGCTGTTAACATTGGTGTTAATGCTGCATTTTGAAATTCATGTAATGTTAATGGTCGTAAATCTAATGTTCGTCCATAGAAAATTTGTCGATTTTTCGTTTCATATGCCATTTGACATGATTTTGGATCATGAAAACGAACTAAAGCTTCACCAGCACCACGATTAAATCGATCAAGTAATATTTTACAGCTATCAACTTGTATTGACATATTTGTAAAAAAATCATGAATTTGTTTTTCTGTTGTTGAATAAGGTATATTTCTTAAACGTAAACAAATAATTGCTGTATCTTGATTCGTATTTGATTGAATTGGAAATGATGTATCTATTTGACGATGATATGTTGCTTGTGGTGTTGGTAATAAATGTGTAGAATTACCATTACGATTATTTCCCATGGTTGGTTCAGAATTTAATAATGGTGGTCGACGTTGTGGTCGATCTGGTGCACGTTTTAATGAATTAATTTCATTTTCCATATCAGATTTTGTCATACGATACATATCAATTGTTGATGAACCTTAAAAAAGAAATTTGTTTTTTGTTTGTCTATTACTAATTAAATAAAAATGTTACCCATTTGTTCTCCATTATAAAAAAATGCTTTTTCAGCATCAATTTCAGTTTCAAATTCAACAAATGTTGGTCCATTCATTGTATCAGTTTCAATAAATATTCCACCGGGACGATTTGTTACATTACAACCAGCAAAAAAACGTTTCACATCTTTACGTTCATATGTTTTAGGTAAACCTGTAACACGTATACAATTTTTGATTGCGGCACCAGGTGTTTTCTTAATATGAGCTGGTATAAACGAATCAATAGCTGATGCAAATGTATATTCATCAATTTTTTTTATATCTAACATTGAATTAAAACATTGCATACGACCATCTTGTGATAAGATATCGGATACATCTTTATTTGTATGTAGGCGAAGAACAATTTCACCTGTTCGTTGACCATTTTGATCATTTAATATTTTTATATCGGCAAGATTTAATTTATATTTTGGAAATAACAGTTTGATATTATAATATGAATAAGCTATTGGAATATTTCGAACACGTATATAAGGATCATCAGCTGTTTGAAATGAATTTAAAGAATCTTGATTATGGTTTCCATATAAAGATTGTTGTTGAAAGAGAGCAGCAGCATTTGTTGCACGTTGTTGTTGTTGTTGGAAAGCATTTGAATACTAAAAAGTAGAAAATTAAATATCATGTATTCAAAGAATTACTCAAAATTTCGGAACTTATGCTTTTATGATGTGTAGATAGGCACTATATATTCATCGATGGTCTAGGATAGTTTTTATTTTAAAACTGACTATTTCGTGTTTGCTCTTGATTTTATTTACATCGTATATGCTATTCTTTTTAGGCATGTGGAAATTAGAAATTTTTATATCTGGGATAGATTTTTGGTTATGAATAATAGCTCAATTATGTTATGGAGTATAGGAAGTATACTTTAGAACGATTTGTTCTAGAAGAGTTTAGTAATGCATAACTAAATGTATGTTTTTATGTTAATTACAAATTATTAACACATAAAATACATTTTTTTTAAAGTATCATTCTCAGAAATAATGTTTCCAGTATATCTATTTGCAAAAAAATTACTTGTTGTGCCATCCATCCATTTGGTTGTTGAGGATATTGATTCATAGGATTTGTAATCATTGGCATTTGAAATGGAAATTGTTGTTGTTGTTGTTGATGTTTTTCATTAAGTGCTACTAATAATTGTTGAATTGCTAATGGATTATTTCCACCTTGTGCTGCAGCTAATAATATTGCATGTGTTGGATCAATTGTTGGTGTTTGTTGTTGCATATGTAATTGTTGTTGTTGAACAGCTTTTGCTTGAAATTCAGCAAGAATGGATGAAATTGCATTTGCTGATGGTATTTTTGGTAGATTTTGATCTTGTTGTTCAATAATATTTGGTGAATAATTTTGTTCAACAACATTTGATGATGATGATTTTGTTGATGGAGTAGCACGAGCTTGTGCAATAACAGTTTGCATTTCTGATCGACTACTTAAAAATAATTTTATTGGATTACCACATATATTACCCGATTTCATCATAGCTTGTCGAGCATCATCATCCGAACTAAAGTTAATAAAAGCATCACCTTTTTCACCACCGACTAAAAATAACAAAAAAAATTTTCTCCGAAAATGAATTCATCTATCAATTTTAGACTCTACTCACCAACATGTACACCACCATCTGGAATACTCAAACCGGTAAAGAATCGTCTCTAGAAGCAAAAGGTTTTGATTTTTTTGTTATCTTTTATAAATAACCTAAACTTACAATATCAATAGCACGTGCCTCATTAGGTAAATTTTGTAAACGAATAATAATATTTGATGATGAACCAGTAGACATAACTCGATAGATTTTTCTCTCTTATTAAACGATGATTAATAGCACCATGAAATAGAATATCTTTATTCTTTTTCTTATATTAAAAAAAACACAATCACTGTTCTGAAAGAAAAAAGTTAGATCATTGCAATCTGAGCTTTGGTATCTGTTATTTTTTTTTTTGAAAATCGAAAATATATATTTTCAATGAATGATTAGCATAAAAACATAAATAACAAGATGATGAAAAAAGAGAAAACGAAAAGAGCGCCATTATTTGATTGTCTGCAAATGCTGAACATATCAGTATAACCATAATTCTAAACAACAATTCTGCATGAATTATATCTATGCCCATATAGATTTGTAAACGTTAGAAATTTTTATTAATTAAAATGAGAAAAAAAAGAACGAACTAATAAAAGATTATTGTTATCTGTAAGATTGTAGATGTAGATCTCGCATATTTATTGATAAATAAACGATAAGTGTATATTTCGAAATGAAATATATATATGATATATGCTTAATCTTTATAAGAAAATGCCGTATAAAGTCTTGCTAATGAGATTCGATTGAATAGAATATGAAGATAAAATCAGAGCTGTCTTATGCAATCAATGATATCTTAGAAAACAATGACTATCAACGCAATTTATCTATGATTAGCATCAAATTAAAATCTTACTATATTTAAAATATGAAGCAAAATACTTTCATCAACAAAACCACCGAAAATTCATCTGTTTACTTGCAAAATATCTTTAAAAAGACAGTAATATATATCTCTCGATCACTCTAGTGAAATAAAACAATATCTGATTTATTCATGATGTTTTTTTCTTAATTTTATGTGTATTATTTCTATTTCTCCACTTACTTCTTCATAATATCTATAAATCTGAATATATATACATATCAAAATAGATCTGTTTGTCTTTTCATTTGAAATCTCTCCCAGGATATCAAATCATCTTCTTTATTCTTATCAAATGGTGTACAACCATGTAGAATATCATCAATATTTAATTCAACAAATAATTGACAATGATTATTTCTTGATAAACATAAAGTTATTATTTGTTGTTCATTATCGTTTAAAAATATAATTTGTTCATCAAAACGAATATTATCTGTATTTAATTGATTATCAATATTCAATATTGTATTGGAAATAATTTTGTTTGGAATCAAATCTTCTGTTTCATCCATATGAAAATTTAATCTTAATAATTGAAAACCCATACCAATACCTAACCATTTAATATAACTTTCTTTTAAACACCATAAACGATAAAAATTTGATGATTTCTTTTTGATTAATTCATATTCATTTAATGTAAATTTTTTACGAAATAATTCATAATTTTCTTTACGAATTTGATTTGTTTGATAAAGTATTGTATCACAACCGATTTGTCCATGAAATGTACCTGCTATACATACTAATTGATGATGATGTGAAAGATTAAAATCAAATGATGGATTTAATTGACTAAATGGACGATTAAGTTTTGTACGTTGAATTCGAAATGATGAACTTTTTTCATGAAATACATGATTTAAAAGATAACGAATTAATAATTGTCCAATTAATGTAAATTTAACATCACGTTGATAAACATATTGGTCTATACGTTTAAGTTCATCAATTGGTAGACAACGATTTGCATAAATCCATTGTTGACGTGTCGGTCTCCAATGATGACAATTAATATAGAAACGATACATTTAAATAAAAAGAAAATAACAATTTTAAGGTCAGATGAACAAATATAAATAAGCCAATCAGAGAAGATTTTTATCGGTTATTATTAATGCATTAATGCATTTCGATGTAATTAAGTTCTTTCGATAAATAAAAATATATGTTATTTTTTTTTT